ACACACACACACACATATATATATATATATATATATATATATATATATATATATATATATATATATATATACATATATATAGTGGGGTCGCAAGGGGTATATATACAAAATTACAACTCGAAAATCCAATACAGACTCTCTGGTATGAAAACTGATGTTAAAATGTGTCCTAGACAATCGCACTAAATCTAAACCTTTGTTGCAAGGAAAAAAAATGTACAATGATTCTTCAGATTGCAAGATTGCAGCAACAGTGGTGAACAACCACTGTCTAGACTTTGAACATTTGTATGAGCCAGGCCTTAAAAAAAAAAAATACCAGTTTGATTCGACATCACAGTTAACTCTTTTGCGTCAGAATGTATCACAAAGTGTAATAAATACATTCAAGTTTGTGGTTATGAAGTGGCAAAATAAGTAAATGAGTTACGATTCAGGCTGACAGGGTGTTGAGATCATCTTACAGATGAATCCATTTTAATTTAATATTATCTAATATAAAATTCACTTGATAATGATGGCTTAGTAATGCACCAATATATAGCATTGGCAGTCCCACCTGAGTTTGTAATATACTATATAACATACTCATTAAATAGACCACAATAATCAATAAAAGCTCAGATTAATGCAAAACTCATTTTTTTCTGTCCCCATCAAAGCGACCATATGTAATTTACCACCTGAAACATATGGCAGCACTTCAATGAGGCAAGCAGCAAACAAAAACAATAGAATTTTTTTTTTAATAGCGTGTGTAAATATACATTTGGAGTACGATGGACAATTGAAGGCAGAGTGGGGAGGGACGGTGTCACGGAGCCCCTCGATGATTCCTTCCAGCCATTCCCAGCTTCATATCTTTAATTAACGACAGATGCACATAGAAAATTAGCATATGTTTGGCACATTGGTGCTAATCGGTCATATATTTTCGCATATTAATGAAGTATTCGGTCTATGTACATGTATTTTCAATTGCATAAATTCTCACAAGAAACAACAGCCTGTAATAATCTGCAATAATGTGTGCTAATGACTTAATCCTCTTTGGATCTTTTTCACTGATAAGCAATGCTTTGCAGAGAGCAAACAAAACAAAAAATAATAA